ACAACTCCAAACCATACGATAGCAAACAGTAACATCATTATATATTATCAGTAGTATTATAGTTAATATTAGTATGACTATTAGTACTACATTGTATTGGATTATATTATTAATACTATATGTATATATAATATATGGTATTATTATTAGCATAGAATAATATTAATATTATATATTATTATATTGTACGATACCACTTTGGCCTATGGAGAGAAGGAGGATGAGATCACCTTAACATACAATCTCATCCAGATCTTGGAACGACCCTGTCTTTTACATACATGTTTGGTTTAGTCATTACATGTTACTTTGATGTTGTTTTACTCATTGCTTTAATTTGGTTTGTTCGTTTATTGTCATATTATGGCATTGAATGTTTGCCATTTTTATGGGAAACCACCCTGCGTATTATTCTCACTATATTGCAATATTATTAGTAATATTAAATGTTATATATAATATACAATCCATTATATATATGTATGTGTGTGTGTGTGTATGCTCTGTTTGTTTTGAGTGACACCATAACACAGAATCTGCTGGATGAATTGCCATCAAATTTGGCCACAAGACACCTACTAACCCAAGGAGTGACCATCACTCAAAACATTATTTTATCATTTGGGAGTTGTGGTTACTGGGATTTAGTTCGCCTACAATCAAAGAGAATTCTGAACCCCACCAATGATATAATTGGGTCAAACTTCCCACACAGAACCCCCTCTCCCCAAGGAACAAAAAATATTGTGTTTTCTGGTGGTCTTTGGCAACCCTTCTGACATCCCCTCGCGACTCCCCCAGGAATCCCAACCCCCAGGTTGAGAAATGTTGCCTTACACAGTGGTTCTCAACCTGGGGTCCCCAGATATTTTTGGCCTTCAACTCCCAGAAATCCTAACAGCTGGTAAACTGGCTGGGATTTCTGGGAGTTGTAGGCCAAAACACCTGGGGAACCACAGGTTGAGAACCACTGCAAGGTCATTCAGTCCAACTCCCTTTCACCAGGGCAAGAACACATAATCAAAGCCCTCCTGACAAAGAGCCATCCAGCCATATTCTTTACAAACTTTTCCCTTTTTATTTTCTCATCCAGAGTTTTTATCATTTTGTTATACAGGTGGCCCGCTCACTGTGACTGATTTCTCATTGCATTACTTTGTTTCATTTTGTTTTGTTTTATTGTATTGCTATGCTTTATTTATTTTATTATGATATTAGTTTTGTTGTTTGGCTTTATTTTATTGTATTTTGCTGTAATTGTATTTCTGGGCTCGGCCTCATGTAAGCCACCCTGAGTCCCCTTTGGGGAGATGGTGGCGGGGTATAAATAAAGATGATGATGATGATGATTAACACATACATATATATTTATATGACAGATATAGTATCATAGATTTGAAAGGGACCCCTAAAGAAGGACAATTATATGTTGCATGTACCAGAGTAGGCAAACCAGACTATCTCTACATGTTTACCCACAAGCATAAAGACATTACATATATGAGAAACCAACACTTTCTCATTACTTTATTTTCCAGAACCCCAGACAGGGCCACAGCAACATGTGGCAGGGGATGGCCAGTATATTATATATTATTATACTGTACTTTATTATTATTACATACTATATATATACTCTACCAGTATATTATGTTGTTCAGAAAGGGGGGTCTGAATGGATTTTGTCATTTGGGAGTTGTAGTTGCTGGGGTTTATATTTCATCTACAATCCAAGAGTCGTTTGAACTCCACCAACGGTGGAATTGAACCAAACTTGGCACACAGAACTCCCATCACCAGCAGAAAATGCTGGAAGGGTTTGGTGGGCATTGACCTTGAGTTTTGGAGTTGTAGTTCACTTGCATCCAGAGAGCACTGTGGACTCAAAGACATGATTGATCTGGACCAAACTTGGCACGTATATTCTATAAGCCCAAATACGAACACAGATGGAGTTTGGGGGAAATATACCTTGACATTTGGGAGTTGTAGTCACTGGGATTTATAGTTCACCTACAATCAAAGAGCATTCTGAACCCCACCAACAATAGAATTGGGGCAAACTTCCCACACAGAATCCCCATGACCAACAGAAAATACTATGTTTTCTGGTGGCCTTTGGCGACCCCTCTTGACACCCCCTTGTGACCTCCCCAGGGGTCCCGATCCCCAGGTTGAGAAATGCTGCCTTAAGGCCATCCAGTCCAACATGTTTTTGATGACGAGACGACAGTGAATGGGTATTGTACTAACTGTTTATTAATTGTGTAATGTGTTAGGTTAACTGTTTTTATACTGTAGCACTGAATTTTTGCTGTTCGTATTTGTTGTGAACCACTGTGAGTCGTCTTCGGGCTGAGAACATCAGTATATAAGTAAGGTAAATAAATAAATAATAATAATAACTCCCTTCACCAGGGCAAGAAAAGAAAGCCCTCCTGATATGAGTCATCCACCATAGATATAGATAGATAAATATGATTCTCTCTCACACACATATATGTATATGACAGATATAGTACAGATTTGAAAGGGACCCCTAAAGAAGGACAATTATATGTTGCACCTTCCAGAGTAGGCAAACCTGACAATCTCCACATCAACACTGACCAAGAAACAGCAAGAAATACTGTTTACCCACAAGCATAAAGAAACTACATATATTAGAAACCAACACTTTCTCGTTACTTTATTTTGCAGAACACCAGGCTGGGCCACAGCAATGCGTGGCAGGGGACGGCTAGTAGGAATAACAAACTAAGGCCCGGGGGCTGGATACGGCCCTCCAAGGTCATTTACCCGGCCCTCGCTCAGGGTCAACCTATGTCTGAAACAACATGAAAGCACACAACAACAATCCTATCTCATCAGCCAAAAGTAGGCTCACGCTTCCCATTGAAATACTGATAAGTTTATATTTGTTAAAATTGTTCTTCATTTTAATTATTGTATTGTTTTTAAGTGTCTTTTGCACTACAAATAAGATATGTGCAGTGTGCATAGGAATTCATTCATGCTTTTTTTCAAATTATAATCTGGCCCTCCAACAGTTTGAGGGACTGTGACCTGGCCCTATGTTTAAAAAGTTTGAGGACCCCTGATATAGATAGATATATATGATTCTTTCTCACACATATATGTATATGACAGATGTAGTACAGATTTGAAAGGGACCCCTAAAGAAGGACAATTATATGTTGCATGTTCCAGAGTAGGCAAACCAGACAATCTCCACATCAACACTGATGAAAAAAATACTTAAAGCCATCCAATCCAGCTCCCTTCACTAGGGCAAGAAAACATAATCAAAGGCCTCCTGACAAAGAGCAATCCTGCCATAGATATAGAGAGATATATATGATTCACACACAGAAAGAGATATAGTATCACAGATTTGAAAGGGACCCCTAAAGAAGGACAATATGTTGCATATTCCAGAGTAGGCAAACCAGAGTATCTCTACACCAACACTGACAAAGAAACAACAAGAAATACTCTCACAACCACCATGTCAGACTACACAGAAAAGCCACTGATATCCACAAGCATGTGGAAAATTTCAACAGAAAGGAGGAAACCATGAAAATGAACAAAATCTGGCTACCAGTATTAAAAAACTCTAAAATTACAACAGCAAAACAACAGAGAGTAAACAATCAGGCACATCTAATCACCTCTCAACAAAAGATTCCCCCAGGTACTGCCAGGCCATCAAATACTAATTAAGGTGGTCAGTTGAAACATTCACACGTGGGGTTGCCTATGAAGACTGCCCGGAAGCTCCAACTAGTCCAACCAGCGGCAGCCAGAATTCTAACACGAGCAGGGTACAGGGAGCATACTACTCCTCTGTTGCGCCAGCTCCACTGGCTGCTAATTAGCTTCTGAGCACAATTCAAAGTGCTGGTGTTAACCTAAACGACTCCGGCCCTGTTTACCTGTACGAACGTATTCTCCCCTATGAACCATCTAGATTGTTAAGATCGTCTGGAGGGGCCCTGCTCTTGGTCCTACTGGCCTCACAAGCGCGTCTGGTGGGGACGAGGGACAGGGCCTTCTCGGTGGTGGCCCCTCGGCTCTGGAACTCTCTCCCACTGGAGATCAGAACTGCCCCTTCCATCTTGACATTCAGAAAACAGGTGAAAACTTGGCTATGGAGTTTGGCTTTCGACGAGTGAGTCAATATTCTGTGATATGGATGGATGACGACAAATAACGAACAACGAATTTACTATGATGACTGACCATTGTAATTATGTGATTGCATTTAGCTATTTTAATGTTTTAGTTTAATATGCTATATGATGTTTTTAATGACTGTGATATTACAGTTGGAAACCGGCCCAAGTCCCTCGACAGTCCCTGCTAAATAAATAAATAGCTCCAGCAGACAAGAGTCCTTTGTCTTACCCTGGTCATTCCACAGATATATAAACCCATTTTCCCTAGTTCCAACAGACCTCACTACCTGTGAGGATGCTTGCCATAGATGCAGGCGAAACATCAGGAGAGAATGCCTCTAGAACATGGCCATATAGCCCGGAAAAACCTACAACAACCCAACAAGAAATACTGTTTATCCATAAGCATAGGAAATAGCATATATTAGAAACCAACTCTTTCTCATTACTTTATTTTCCAGAACACCAGACAGGGCCACAGCAAGGCCTGGCAGGGGACAGCTAGTATATTATGTTGTTCAGAGAAGCAAAGATGATGGGGGGGGGGGGGGGTTCTGAATTGGAGAGTAAATAAAGGCGGAGGGGCGGGGCGGGATCCCGAGGGGGCGGGGCTTGCCTGTCCCCGCCTCATTCCCACCACTATTATTATTGTTCTCGTTTATTTCTATGGCGCCATCAAGGTGCGCGCCAGCATTACAAGCCAAACAACCCCCAACCAAGCAAACAGGCACATTTCCCAGCTCAGGGGCGACGGTGGCCCTGAAGGGACTTCCCACAGAAAAGGCGCTCCTCTTCCTCCCATCCCAGACCCCTCATTACCTGCGTTTGGCGAGGCCCTCTCCTTCTCCGGGCCCGGGGTATTGACGTCTCTTTATTTTTAACCTGCGTGTGCGGGCGGGAAGCCGGCCTTTCCCTTTTTTTCCCGTCGCCTCGGCTTCCGCCGCCGCCTCCCCCTAGCTGGCCCCGCGCGTAGGCCCCTTTTGGGCCATGGCGGCCACCGTCGCCGCCGCCACCACCCCCCCCTCCCACCCACCACAGCCGTTGGGCTTCCCCTGCGCTCGCGCCGCGGGCGTTGGGAAAACGGGGAGGGGAGGGGGGGAGAGGAGGCAGAGGGCCCCTGCGCAGGCGCACTGAGGGGGGAAGGGACGGTGGCGGCGCGCGGCCACTCACGCGCTCTCTCTCTCTCTCTCAATCCCTGTCTGCTCCCCCCGCCCCTCCCCTCTTCCTTCGCCGAGCCGGGCACTTTGTTTGTGTCCCACAATGCAACGCGGCGTCTGCTGAGGAAGCAAGCAAGCAAGCAGTGAGGGAGGGAGGGAGGAAAAAAAATAATAGGCGGGGTTAAATCAGGGAAAAGGAAAAGAGTGCGCGCATGCGCCTCGGAAGGGAGGGCGGGCGGGCTGAGCGGGCACGCGCTTGAGGGCGGGAGCGCGCGCGAGAGAGAGACCATTCCTACTGAGGAAGAGCTTCTCAAGGGAGGGAGGGAGGAGAGAAGAGCCATCTATCTAGATCTATTTATTTAACATCTATCTATCTATCTATCCATCCATCCATCCATCTATTTATCTGTCTATCTATCTATCTATCCATCTATCTATTTATCTGTCTGTCTGTCTGTCTATCTATCCATCTATCTATTTCTCTGTCTACCTATCTATCTATCCATCCATCCATCCATCCACAAACCCACCCATCCACAAACCCACCCATCCATCCATCCATCCATCCATCCATCCACAAACCCACCCATCCACCCACCCATCCATCTATCTGTCCATCCATCTACCCTAACCACCCATCCATCCATCCACAAACCCACCCATCCACAAACCCACCCATCCACAACCCACCCACCCATCCATCCATCCACAAACCCACCCACCCATCCATCCACCATCCATCCATCCACAAACCCACCCACCCTCCATCCATCCTAACCCACCCATCCATCCATCCACAAACCCACCCATCCACAACCCACCCAATCCATCCATCCATCCATCCACAAACCCACCCATCCATCCATCCTCCATCCATCCACAAACCCACCCATCCACCCACCCATCCACCCACCATCCATCCATCTATCTATCTATCCATCCATCCATCCCCACCCACCAACCACCCACCCACCCATCCATCCATCCATCCATCCATCCATCCATCCATCCATCCACAAACCCACCCCTCCACCCACCCATCCATCCCATCCATTCTATCCATCATCCACTAACCCACCCACCTACCCATCCATCCACCCACAAGCCCACCCATCCACCCACCCACCCATCTATCTATCTATCTATCTATCTATCTATCTATCTATCTATCTATCTAAATAAATAAATAAATAAATAATAAAAATGTGATGTTCGTTTGTGGGATTAACAGAACTCAAAAACCACTGGACGAATTGACACCAAATTTGGACACAAGACACCTAACAACCCAAGGAGTGACCATCACTCAAAAAAATTGATTTTGTCATTTGGGAGTTGTAGTTGCTGGGATTTGTAGTTCACCTAATAGGAGCCTTTTTGAGTCAGTCCACACAGAGAAGCTTTCCATGCAGGACATAATACCAAGAGCTCCTGTAGAAAGCTTCGTCTTCTACGGCTTGGCCGGGGAGATACAGCCCCACAGCTTGGCCAGAAGATATACAGCCTTACAGCTCCTTCGCTGAGGGACTTCAGTCAGCCATCACTGAAACCTGAACTCCTTTTCCCCTGGAGGTCTACAAAGCTCTGCTTGGTAAGGGTCTCTCGCAGAAGCCAGAAGCAGTTGTTACCAGGTGTAGGGGCTCCATGCCAACAGAGGCAAAGAAAGACTGCCCAGATTAGAAGTTAAGGATTTCCCCATTAGTTAAAATACCAGTCATGAAGATAGTGCCTGTTCCCTGTGGACAAGATTGAAAGAGCCAATAGACTGTTAAGAAAGCCTTAAAGTACCTGTTTGTTTTCATTAATAAAGAACTTTGTTGAACCTTTAAGCAATCTAAAGACTCTGTTTTAAGGAAATCCAAAGGCCTTTAATCTGAGGCAGCCCCGGCGTCCTGTTGGGCACACAGAATTTATGTCCTGTCTACAGTCTTATGCACAGGCCCAGCGTGCGACAGCACATATGCCATCTATGTATATGTATGTATATGAGTTTGTATGTATATATGACTCATCTTTACATAGAAACACACAGAGATATGATAAGAATCGTAAAGTACTTTACAGAAAAGTACTACATAAATGCAGGTTTTTGAGAGGTCCATTTTGGGGATAAAATTTCTAGATGTACATCCAATACTTGGAAAATAGCATCTGTATAAAGCGCTCTACGTGGGGTTGCCCTTGAAGACTGCCCGGAAGCTTCAGATGGTCCAGCGCTCGGCAGCCAGGTTGCTAACGGGAGCGGCACTCAGGGAGCACACCACCCCCCTGTTGAGCCAGCTCCACTGGCTGCCAATTAGCTACCGGGCACAATTCAAGGTGCTGGCTTTAGCCTATAAAGCCCTACACGGTTCCGCCCCACCTACCTCTCCGAACGCATCTCCACCTATGAACCGGCGAGGACTTTAAGATCGTCCGGGGAGGCCCTGCTCTCGGTCCCGCCGGCGTCGCAAGCGCGGTTGGCGGGGACGAGAGACAGGGCCTTCTCAGTGGTGGCCCCTCGGCTATGGAATGCCCTACCAGTGGACATCAGGCAGGCCCCTTCGTTGCTGGTGTTTCGGAGGAGGGTTAAGACGTGGCTCTATGAGCAGGCGTTTGGACAACTATGCAATGACAACTAACTCAGTAAGACGGCATTGAACAAGGAACGGAAAAAGGACTATGAGAACGGGATCTGATTCTAATTGAGGCGTTGGTGACTGTGTGTGTTGTTTGTGTATGTACGTCTTATATACTGTCAGTGTTGCCATTTTTACTGTAAACCGCATTGAGTCGCCGTCGCAGGCTGATATATGCGGTATACAAATGGAGTAAATAAATAAATAAAATAAATAAATTTATAAGTTACAGCCCGCCTTTCTGCTAGTATGGGGCCCAAGGCAGTTCACAATAGTCCAGCTGAAGTCTTATTGTAGGAAAGTTTACCAAAAAGATTAAACTATTTAAGCCAAAGGCTTACCAAGCATCTAGTTTTATGGCTTCTTTGAGTTTGGTCTTTTGAGAAGACCCTCGGACTTCACATGGAGTTTCGTCTCCTCATCCTGTAAAGGCTCAGCCCTCGAAATGTCACGTGCCACGATGCCCTTCCTTGTTTCTCCCGTTCGAAAGGACACTACTTGGTCAACTATCACCCTTGAACTGCTCAATGCCTTTCAGTACTGCATCATAATGGATCCTGATGATGACAAAACTGCCTCAGAACTTTCCATTGGGCCTCCATTCTGTTCTAGAGGCTGTTGTCAAGGTGAAGAGTTTTGCGAACCTCTCTTGTATAAGTAACGTACAAATTGCTGTGCTTTGTGAATGTTATTGCTGATTAAAGTTAACAAAAATATCAATCGTCCAAATCAACTTTCCAAACATTGATTACAGAATACAAAGCTGTTCACAGTTCTGCGGGTTTTTAAAGTCAACCTTTCCTATTTGTCTAAAATTGTTGTTTTTTAAATTGTTGTGGTTAAAGTATTACAAGCAAAGTGTAATAATAATAATAATAATAATAATAATAATAATAATAATAATAATCTTTATATATACCCCACCACCATCTCCCCAACGGGGACTCGGGGCAGCTTACATGAGGCTAAGCCCAAACAACAAATTATAGCAAAATAAAACCAAAAACACAAGCAATAAATAACAACATCATAATTACATAAAACATATGAATACATTAACGATATAAAATTACAATAAACAGTGACAATGGGCGGGCTACATGTGCAAAAAAAATGAAAGAAAAACTGATTAAAAACAGATTAAAAACTCAGGCGAGATAAAGGAGAAGCAGGTTATTAGTGGAGGGGCGCTCATTAAAACGAGGGTTGTGGAATCAAGCTTTCCCATGAGGGGGGATATATACTCCAATGACAAAACGTTGAGGCTAAGCAATAATGTGAAGTTGTATACCTACTCACCAGAGTAAAGTTTATTCCTCCTAGTTCTCTTTTTTCTAGATGATTATTAATGGGAGCCCCTGGTAATGCAGGGGGTTAAAGAGCTGAGCTGCTGAACTTGCTGATCGAAAGGTTGCAGGTTCGAATCCAGAGAGCGGCATGAGCTCCTGCTGTTAGCCCCAGCTTCTGCCAATCTAGCAGTCTGAAAACATGCTAATGTGAGTAAATCAATAGGTGACAGGAAGCTAATGGCACGCCATGCCGTCATGCTGACCACATGACCTTGGAGGTGTCTACAGACAACACCGGCTCTTCAGCTTAGAAATGGAGATGAGCACCAAGCCCCAGAGTCGGATACGACTGGACTTAATGACAGGGGAAAACCTTAACTTTTTATTAAAGAGATCACCTCTGAAAACAATGAGTTTATATCAATGGAAGCATATGCTTAAAATAACAACCAGTTAGTCTTAATCTTCTTCCTCTGTTTTGTGCCAAAAATGTCAGCTTCTGAAACCATCTCCGCTCATGTTTAGGAGTACGAATGTGGAAGGGCAATGCTAAGGAAATGGTAACTTCCATTGAATTCAGTTACTGCTAACTATGCTCAAGATCAAAATCTCAGTTTGTTAAAATACTGAATATTATGTAGAGAATCAGTATGGTAAAGTGGTTTGAGTGTTGGACTGGGGCAACTGGGAGACTAGGCTTCGAATCCCCATTTGGCCACAGAAAACCATTGAGCAGCCTTGGGCAAATCACACTCTATCAACCTCAGAGGAAGGCAAAGGTAAATCCCTCATGAACAAATCTTTCCAGGAAAGCCACATGATTGGGTCGATTTAGGGTTGCCATAAGTTCAAGGAACGCAACAACAAATAAAATAGTCATAATGTTTTCCAATCAGAGTCTGCACAACTTAGATTGCCAATTGCTGACCAGCAGTCACGGGAGA